CCACCAAATCACAGCTCCAAAAATAAGAAGCCAAGAACTTGACAATTCAGAAACTGAGAAAAAAACACTTTGCCTCAGAAATTCAAGTTTAACACAGCACAAAAGAATACCTACACAGTATGTATATTAGTTTTTCACTTAATCCATGCAACAAACTGACGTGGTTGGTTTTATTTTCCCCACTGCAATGAAGAGAAAAATGAGGGTTAGAGATTAACTTTCCCAAGTTTACATACTCTATTGATAGCAGAATAGAAATTAAAATCAGTGTTTTCTGATCTTAAACTCCTAATAGAAAAATAATTGTTTCCCTCCATAAAATCTTGCATTTTGTTAGTTTCTAAGATATCTGCTAAGATATTCCCTGGGTTTGCTCTTCTACCAAATACATTATCAGATAAGAGCTTCAAAGTAAAAAAAAGGCATATATTTCTACCTTACTGTTCTCCTCTTACTCCATTTTGTGCCACACAAGATCACCTTCTTTAGATTGATTTTCACAAGATTCTTGCGCATGAAAAAATATTTTTGTCTAAGCTCTAGTATCTATACATAACAAAGTAAATATCAAGAGAGTAATGACAGAGTTAAAAGTGAATATATGCAGGGTTGTAGCTCTTTCTTGACATAATTTTGTGACAACATGAGTCCATCCATGAGCACGGGGCTATGGAAGCTATAGCTACAAGCGGGAACACAGTTTTTAGAAACAACTTTTCTGAGTGTCCATTATGTGTAAAGCTCTGCACTGTGGATCATATGCAGGGGAATTCTCTCCAGAAGCTGGTAAACTGGGGTCCTTGTATTTATACCAGTGATTTATTGTTGCTCAAAACCTGTTTAGAGCTTCTCTTCTAGCACTGCCTCAACTGTGGAAATTGTTTCCTGGTGGATGTTTTCATTCACTCAGTTAATATTTTTGCAGGGCCTGTAGGTGGGATCTGGAATTTGATTTTGGAAACAACCAAAAACAAATCAAAGTCAAGTTATTAAATAAGGTTTAGGTCCAAAGAGGCAAATACAATTTTTTAACATGACTAGTTCTCTGGTGTGGCTATTAAATTCCTTCAAGGCAATTCCAAAAGTCATTTTTAAAAGTCAAGCTACTCAAGAATACATACATTGGTTAGACCCGAAGCTATGTCTTCTTTTAATCTAATGAGTCATAATGTAACTTGTTTTATTCATGGTCTAATTACCTATGCTTAATACTAAAATTTATTTTTCCCTGAGAGCTGAAGGCCAAATTTAGGAACCCTATTTTGAGTGTCTCTGAGTCTGCAGTATATCAACAGGATGCTTGTCGGGTTAGCTTCGTTTCCCTTCCCAGCTCTTTTTGTTGTTCCCTCCCTGTCTCTCTTTCTCTCTCTCTGACACACTGACACATTTTCTATTATTTAAACTCAGTTTTAGGCAACTTTGTACCAGGTTACTTTTTCTTCCAAGGGGTTTATTTTGTTTCTTGGATTTGGGGGAGTGAGAATGCACCAGTACTTACTTCTCTTCAAATGAGGATTTATTACAGCACAAACACATCTCCTTCAACCAACTCCACTTACAGTCTCTCTGCTGCCGTGTTCTGGGCTGGTCTGAGGAACAATCTCTTGGAGGTACTTCACTGTAACATGCCCGGCTCACAGAATCCCATCTTGCAAAGCGTGAGCTTTAGATTGTAACTGAAAACAGGCAAGTTTGCCCTGCCTCTGGCGTGACTCCAAACATCTGAAATGTTAGAACATGGTGCTTTTATGCTGAAACATTACACAGTCCCCGAGTGCAGAACTGCGGTGTTCCCACCGCTGCTATTTTAGAGACAGAGGGGCAGAGAAATCAGGTTCCATAATAAAGTGTGTGCGTTTGGCTGGTGGAGAGAGGAGGCGAGGGGAGGAGAGGAACGGACACCGGAAAGACGTCTTTTAATTTAGGCATCTTCCTTTCTGAAAATGATGGAAGAGGACAATGAAAAAACGTTTTAAAATCCCTTTTACAGGCTCCCGGCACTTAAGAACTGAGTAAAACACCACTCATCACCAAGGCTTTAAAAGTCACATTTTTTGGTCTCTGGAATGAATCCCTTTTGTCTAATGTTTGGGACCCTAGGATCAGAAAAAGCTGAGATCTTGACCTTGACCTGGGAATCAGAATTCTCTGGAATAAATGCTTTAAAAGAGGGTTCCCTTCCCGTTTTTGAGTGATTTCTAGAGCAGCTTTTTCCCAGAAGGTAACCGCAAAATCTATTTGTTCTTGATAAATATTTAAAAGATCATGAAATGATGAATTTCTTGCAGCCTGTTGCCACCGTTCAAATATAAAGAAATGAACACGGAAATGGACGCCCATTAGCCTCCAGGATAGAGGGGAGAGGGTGAGAGACCATCACTGATTAGGGCGTGCAAACAAGATGACCCTCTCACCTCTTCATTCACCCTTCAGTCAGTCAACACACATTTATCCAGCACCGCCTATGTCCCGAGCATCTGGGCCAGCGTTGGGGCACTAAGTACCCTCGCACCACTCCCAGGGGACAGCCTTCTCTTTCCCTTTCTCTTTCTCTCTCCCCTGACATGTAAAAAGTTGCAGAGAAAGATGCAGATTCACCAAAGGAAATTAACTCAGAGCAGACACTAATTGTTCCAGCAGAAACAAACCAGACCTGAAGTGGGTGTCAGGGAGGGGCCTCCCCAGAGGGCTGTGGGGGAGCCTGCTTCTGCGGCTGTCTGGGCCGGACTGGGGCGTCTCGTGCACGCCGAGACCCCGTTCACCCTCAAGCTTCCACTTTTCCAAGAGTCTAAGGAGCCTTCCCGTGTCCAGCACTGAGTACTCTAAGGAAGCACAACGTGGTGCCGTCATGACACACACACACACACACACACGTCTCAGCTCTTGACCCTGAATGCGTGTTTCAAGCTCTCGGGTGACCCCAGCTACGCCAGTGCTCAGATACAGCATGTTTTCTTTCATTTTAGGCAGGATTTGTTGGCGCACTCGTTTCGCACTGAGTACTGCAGGGTAGCTGGCTGCCTTTACAAAGCCCGGACAAGCCAGGAAGGCTCCTTGCTGCTGGGGCGGGGACAAACAGCTGGCGAGGATACCACCAGCCCCCTGAAGAAAGCCTCAAATGTCGAAGGAGAAACGTTATGCTCTCCTGGCAAAGATGTCAATGCTGGTTCCCTAGGGCGATGTCGAGCGTTCTGCCACCGCACCCCTGCGCTCCGCTCTCCCGACTCCGGCTGCAGGGCTGCCCCGGGTGGGCAGGCAGGCGGCGCGCCGGCGCTGTGCCACCGCCACTCCGGTGCGTGTCCGGAGCCGGCCCGTCGAGACCCCTTCCCAGGCGCGCCCCAACCTACGCAGGAGAGCGCTGCCCTCTAGCGACCAAAATGGGAAGCGCAGCTCGGCCGAGTTGCGGGGGAGCCCTGCGGCTGCGGGTCCCGGAGAAGTTTGAAGTGGCGGCCTGTCCTTTGCAGAGGGCGGTTATAGCCGGGAAAGCCCTGAGACTCTTTCTCTGTCTATGGGCTCAGGGACTGTTTGTGGTTTCCCTCTGGGGCCAGGACAGATAGACAGATAGACGGATGGATGGATAAATAAACGATACACATATGATAGGTAGATGATAGACAAATGGAAAAGCAGATGGACAACAGATGGTTAGAAACACGTTTTTAGGGCTTGCTATGTGCTAGGCACAGGCTAAGTGCTTTCGTCCACCATTTCATTTGCGTGTCTCTGGAACCCCATGAATGGCACATTGCCTTTGTCCTTCTTTTCCAAATGGGGAAACTGAGGCCTTAGACAAGATAAAAAACTTGTCTCTTGGCAATCTTCCGCAGAGCTAGGAAGTGGCGGAGAGGGTCTCAGCCTCCACGTTTGGCTCTCGGCCCCCTCCCGCCGTGAGGATGTGCGCACCCCAGGCCCCGGACGCCCGGGCACGGCGTCCCTCGTTGCTCCCTCGCCGCGACAGTCCTGGCGCGCTGACATCTCGCCCGCCCCTGCACCCCCTCTCACTCGTCCAACACCCCCAGGACACCCTGGGCAGCGCGCTTGAGGCTGCGGGTCCCCGACTTGGAAGCCTGCCCGGGGAGCTGGGTAAATGCGGGTCCCCTCCCGCGGTGGCTGAACGATATGCAGTTCCAGAAACTTAGGTTTTTCCTGCATCCAAGTTTGGCTAGGGGTCTCGCTAACGCGAAAGGGGAAAGCTCGCTCCCGAGATTTTAAGATTCCCGGGAAGTTTCCATCATTCATTCCTTTAACCGTTAACTGAGCGCCTACTAGGCGCCTGAGGCTGTTGGACGCTGCAGCAAGGAACTCGGAGTCCAGTGGCGGGGACAGACAGGTGGACAAATGACGACATTCGGGACGGCTGTGCTTGGTGCCCCCAGCAGCACGAGGGCTCCCCAGGCGTCACAGGGGCAGGTTCACCAGCTCAGAGAGTCTCCAGCACATTCCAGAAAGCTAAATCTGTCCATCTGCCCTCCCTAACGCCCCCTCCTTGGCCCTCTCCCTGGAGTTCGCACCCCCAGGAGTGTAATTTCCCTAACTTTACGCGGGGGAACTTGATCTCATCCCACTCTCTCCCCCAAGTTCCTAATGCCTTGGTTTGTCACCCGGCCGTGAGGTGAGCCACCAAGCGTCCCCCTCCCCCCGGGGCCGGGGAGCGCGCGTGCCGGGCCCGGACGGACCCCTCCCGCGGGGGCGGCGGCGCGGGGCTGGCGTAGGGCCTGCGTCAGCTGCAGCCCGCCGGCGATTGGGGCGCGCTCGCCTCCTTCGGTTTGGGGCTAATTATAAAGTGGCTGCAGCCGCCGCCAGCCCCGGGACGGCGACGCGAGGCGAGGCAGGCGCTCCGAGCCCTGCAGTCCAGCCCGCGGCGACGCAGAGGACCGCGACGGTGAGGCCCGCGCCCGCCCGCGCGCCCCGGCCGCTCCTCCCGACGCGCGCGCCCCTCACACCTGCCTTCTCCTCTCCCTTCCAGGGTCGTGCCTGCGACCCGGCTTCTCCCGCCAGCCTGCGCCATCCGCCCAGCGTCAACGTGAGTGAACTTGCCCGAAGCTCGCCTTTGCTGCGGGGTCCGCCGGCTCCGTTTTATTTTGCGTTTCATTGCACGGGGTTCTCCAACTTTCTTCTGGTCCCTGTTTGTGACCCGGGTCCATGTCGCGCCTCCCCAGGCTTCTGCTCTCTTGCATTTGGTCTTGGGCGTTCTCTCCAGAATCCTGCCCAGGGCAGCGGATGCCCAGAAAGAGAGCCGGGTGCCCCGGGCAGCCCCAGGATCGGGCGACAGTGCCAACCTGGGGACCGCGAGGCGATCTGAGCTGTCCCTGGACCTCTCAAAACGGCGTCGGCTGGGCAGGTGGGCGGGGGCCCAGGAAGGAGCGTCCCGACGAGCTCTTGCTCGACGAACTCCCAGCTGGGACTGTCCCGGCTAGGGGGTCCCTTCGGGGGACCCGCTCTGCGCCTGGGCAGGCTCGGAGCTCGCGTCCCTCTCTCCCCGCAGCCCATGGCGCGGTTCCTGAGACTCTGCACTTGGCTGCTGGCGCTTGGCGCCGGGATTCTGGCGACCGTGCGGGCACAATGCAGCCAGGACTGCGCGACGTGCAGCTACCGCCTGGCGCGCCCCACCGATATCAACCCCCTGGTGAGTGGTCCGCGCGGTGCGTGAGCAGCAGCGGCGACCGTCCCCAGACAGCGCGCCGCGGCTCGTGGTCACCATCGGTCTGCACCGCCCCGAGGCGGATCTCTGGTGACCCCGGTGTCCCGACTGCTCCCCGAACACTGCCCACGGTCCCGCTCTAGCTCTCAGCTTCGGAGACCCGCGACTATCTAGGGACCGGTAAGGGCGGTGGTGGCTCCACACAAACCGAGTTTGTTTTCACCCCCGGGAGGCGGGAGCCTGGAAATGTGCTCTCTTCAGCACCTCGGAGAGCACTGGGTTGTCACCTGTCCCAAGTAACATGCTGTCACCCAAACTCCTAACATATCCCACTAAGGGTCCCTTCCCCACACAACCGTCCTCCCATCCTTCCCACAAATAATGTCATTTTTTATTAGTGACATTTTGTCACCTTTCTTCGGATTTCATTTCTCTAGCCCTTTTAACCTCAGGTCCCTCAGCCCTTCCCTTCACCTGTGGATAGGGATGAGCAAAGGGATGGGGTGGGGATACAGGAGAGGAAGGGGTCAGCGCAGTAGACAGGAGAGAAAGAGATCAGCAACTGTCTTACAGGCGAGGGGCGCTGCACTTCAACCTCTGTCTTGCTTGAATGTACTTTTGTGGTATCTACTAAGACAACAGTTTGATTTGGCTGTGAAAAAAAACACAGAGGGGGTGGCCAGTGTCCAAAGAGGTAGCAACAACGCAAAGATAAACTACACCCCAGGGGCTTAGGGAAAACCCTGAGGACAAAAGAACTCTCCTTCTAATCATAGTCCATGTGCTGTTGAATCACCCCTGACGCTCTGCTGAGCCAGAATCTCTGAATCAGGGACCCAGGAAGCTTCATTTAAGTAGCTCCCCCAATGATTCCTTTGCTGTCTTCTCCACTTGTTGAAATTCTGTGATGACTTAGAAAGCTCAGTAGAAAATAATGTATTAATCCAAGGAGTTAAACTCCTCACTTGAGCCTTTGAAGAAATTTTGTTACGTAGATACATAAAATAGGGATGAAAATTAAGGGAAGGATTCCACAAAATCAAGTGCATATATTGCAGGTTAAATGTTTGTTTCATTTGATTTACCTGACCCAATTAATTTGATATGTGAATGTGCTGACATTGCCTTAAAGAGAAGTCACATAGTAGGGCTTTATATTTAAACTATGAGAAAAATGTTGCATCTTAAATAGGGGTAATATTCCCCTTCATCCATCTTTTTTCTTTCTGATTTGTTTTGGGTTTTGTTTCACTGATTTGTTTTGCATTGGGGCTTACATTTAGGGTTGTTATTTTCTCTGTGACAAACAGCTTTGCTAACGACTATGCTGCTAGAATTACAGCAGTTCTGGAATTGTAGCTCTAATGCAAAAGACGTATGAGAAATGAGGTTGCCTAGCCAAATCTATGTAGTGAAATCAATGCAGCAAATATTTATTGAGTTGCTACCACGTGAAAGACACTAGTGCTTGGTTCTGTGGCAGATGCAAAGATGAGCAGACAAGCCAGGATGTCCAGTTTGAACTTACCATCTAATATGATCTTCACCATAGAACAGAGTGTGATAAATACTGCAAAAGATGCATAGACGGCTATAGGAGCATATAACATCACTTCTTTAGTATGAGTGTGTTGTTCTGATTATTTGTCATTATTTGTTTTTGGAAGAATCCCAAGTCACCTACATTAAAAAGCCTTTTGATAGTAGTATACAAAATATTCTACATTAATTTTTGGCAAAGTGATCATTTAAATTTCATTTTAGAATGGAACTTTTATTGACACCCGAACTTCTTCAGTTTTTAATAAAGTTTTGATTTCTTAATCCAATATTAAGAATAAAACAGGACCATTTTAATTAGATCATCTTTAAGTTTTTTTATATATGCATATATTTAATTTTCTTAGACACAAAGCTTAAATAATCATTAAGAGCTGGTTAATATGTACCCTACAGAATTCTGTTGAACTAATAAAATGCTTTATTTCACAGTGAAAATAATATGTGTGTATGTTATATCAATTAATATACCAATATATTTTTGAATACCAAAAAAGGGCCTGGATTTTCTGTCTAAATCAAGGGCCGGTAACCAGAGTTCTATAAGTAGACTTCAGGGGCTCTAAAAACCCCTGAAATGCTCAGAAATATCATATGTATTTTGTAAATGTTCATATAATGTTAGTATTCTTTTTATGATACCCAAGTCATCTGTTGAATAGAAGAGAAGCTTAACAAGATTATTAGACTGTATGGCCTAAATCTTACAATGATTAGAATTTAATTATTACAGAATAAAAAGGAAAGAATTGTATGCTGATCATTTCTATTTTGCCAAATAACATGATTTTCATTGGAAAAGATGTTTTCTGTACACCAATGACTAAATGTTAAGAAAAGAAACGTGAATAATGTGAACATTTGTGTATGTATAATTTTATATCAGACCTCATCATTACAAACATTTGGTTTCAGAAGATCAAATCTGTTTTAATCAATCAATGGGGCGGGGAAAGCAGAACATCTCTACTTTCAGCAAATCAGTATATCATAATCCAAATAATTCATAGGATTTAAATTGAGTTTTTACAATGTCTTTCTTTTCAAACTTATTTTGAATTGTTGTTTTTCTTTAAAGATTAAAAGTGTTTGCAGGGATATTGGATACCATTCCAGATGAAATATTAACACAAGAAAGTAAACAAACCTATTGATTTTATCTATAAGACAAGAAGATAAAAGGAATTTGGAAATAATGTCCCTAATTAGGTAAAGAGAAAGTTCTCCCTTTTGGTTAGAAAAATCTCAAACGAAATGAAATCAACAGTGGAAAATTATCCAGTGAAATTGGATTGTGCAGGCAGCCAATCTAGGTTAAAATTGGGTGGAAAAAATCTTTTACAATATTGAAATGGCACAATGTACGCAATCTGTTAAAATTCAGAGAAAATTTCTAATATGATTCATTTAATTCTCCACAATGTCCCGTTTTGATTCGCCTGTTTGATATGAGGAAAAGTTGTAACAGGAAAATGTAGGTGACGTTATTACATGAAAGTTTCCATATCAAAGCAAGCATATTGTGGTCCACAAAAATTTGTTACTTAATGAAATCAGAAGAGTCTCTATTTGTCATTGAATCGAATTCTTTTCCCAGGCTTGCACACTGGAATGTGAAGGGAAACTGCCTTCTCTCAAAACCTGGGAGACCTGCAAGGAGCTCCTGCAGCTGTCCAAACTGGAGCTTCCTCAAGATGGCACCAACGCCCTCAGAGAAAGCAGCAAACAGGAGGAGAGCCATCTGCTAGCCAAAAAGTACGGAGGCTTCATGAAAAGGTATGGAGGCTTCATGAAGAAAATGGATGAGCTTTATCCTGTGGAGCCGGAAGAAGAGGCAAATGGAGGTGAAATCTTTGCCAAAAGATACGGGGGCTTCATGAAGAAGGATGCAGAGGAGGATGACACCCTGGGCAATTCCTCAGACCTGCTGAGAGAGCTGCTGGGAACAGGAGACAACCGAGAGAGTAGCCACCACCAGGAGGGCAGTGATGATGAAGAAGTGAGCAAGAGATACGGGGGCTTCATGAGAGGCTTAAAGAGAAGCCCCCAGCTGGAAGACGAAGCCAAGGAGCTGCAGAAGCGATATGGGGGCTTCATGAGAAGAGTGGGTCGCCCGGAGTGGTGGATGGACTACCAGAAAAGGTATGGGGGCTTCCTGAAGCGCTTCGCTGATTCTCTGCCCTCCGACGAAGAAGGTGAAAGTTACTCAAAAGAAGTTCCCGAAATGGAGAAAAGATATGGAGGATTTATGAGGTTTTAGTACCGTTTCCCATCAGTGACCCCAGGCCCCCACAAGCCTTCCTCCATCCCCCAGTGAGAGACTGCCTCGTGGATCATGTTTTATTGTCATGTGTTGCTTGCATTGTATTGGTGACTTTATTGTCTGGATAACTAACTATACAACCTGAAAGCTGTCATTTCAGGTTCCGTGTTCTTCTGAGAGTCTTGAAGCTCAGTATTGGTCTATTACAGCTATCTTGTTTTCATGCTAAAATAGTTTTTGTTACTTTGTCCTTTATTTTTGACAAAACACCAGTAAAGGCTTACTTGTATATAGATATAATAAACCCATTACCCCAACTGCATAACATTCTTGCCAGTCTCTTCTCTAAGGCCATCATTCGCCTTTGGGTTTCCACAATAAATCCTAAACTCAGAGACAGTGATCCCATCTGCTTTTGACAGAATCTTCCCTGGCCTCCTTCTCTTGCAACAGCTGAGGCTGCAAAAACATTTTTCATTTAATTCCTTATATATGAAATCTTACATGAGTAAACACAGTGGAGCAAAATAAAATGTGTTTCCACTCTCATTTCTGGAAATCAGATACATGAGGAAAAACCAAAACCCAATAAAGAAACGAACTATGCCCTCGTATATCTGGAAATCTGCATTTACGTCAAGATGTGTATGTCTCTTTTCTTCAGCAAAGTATTTTAGAAGCTAATATGAAATTAAGGATAATTTAGCCCTGTTTTACAAGTAAAGAAAGTGAAGCCCAGAAAGGTTAAGTAGTTGGCCCAAGGTTGCCCAGCAGTTGAAGGATAGAAATAGAATTAAGACCCCAAACTTCTTGCTCCCAAGCAATGTCCTTTCCACTCCAGTTCTCTATCTCTCATCTAGGTGAGTACCAAGAATTGGAAGAACTTGGGACTATATCTTCTTCACTATTGTACTCCCCTCCACCACAACCATAGTGGGTTCTCCAATATCTGATGCATGGATATAGGAATGACTGAAGGAATGAATGAAGGAAATGGCGACCAGATCATTGAGAAAGGTATTATGAATGTTTATAAGGCAAATTCTCATCACACACAGAGTTCTGACTTCTTCATATTAATTAAACCGTTTGGAACAACATTCAGGTACTAAAAATATAACATTGCTTCCTTTTTCTAATTGAAACTACCTGCAGCTAAACTCCCATCCACTAAGTCATTTTTCCAGGACCCTCACCCACTCTCTCCTTTGTGTTCTTCCCCCAAAATTCAGAGTTTAGAAACTCAGGAAAATAAAAGAAGAATCTCTGCTCCGTAGTTCACCACTGTGCAAGCCCACAGGCACCCTTCTGATGAGGCAGCTCTGCTGTCCTGGGCAGTCCCTCCCTGAGTCCAGCTCTGCCAGGGTTCCCAGGCCATCCACACAGCCATGCACAATTAGAAGACCCACCACTTCCTGGTCAGTGCAAGGGGCCACAGGTCCCCGCCACTCCCAGAGCCCCACCACCATCTAGCTTCCGGATCCTTGACAAACTAACTTTTTCTTCCAGGCGAGAGCCTTCCTCCTTTTGAACTAGAGATGCAAGTAACGTAAGTGTTTGAAGCAGATGAGAAAAAGGTGATCACCAGCAGCTGGCCCTTGGAAATCAGTGTCAGGAGCAATGAGGAGTGATGGGGCTGTGACACATCGGAGATATTAGGTCTCCATTCAGCCGTCGTCAATTGTTTCCCTTGGAAATGCCAGCCCAGTATCGCTAGACTTTTCCAAAGAAACCTGAAACCTAGATTTTCATCATAATATCCCAAATTTTTAATTGTGGCTTTTGATTCCGTTTACAATAGTGTGGACTAAACAAAACCCATCTCCAGGTTATATTTGAGAGACATGGGGCTAGTCTTTTGAGGAAAAAAAAAAAATCACTGAATTCTCTCCCCCAGAGCAAAGCATTCCCAAACCTTGGAAATGGGAATCCAGCCTATTCTCTAGAGACAGTAAGAGGAAAGTGCACTGTCCCTCCCTGATAAGATAACAATGCATTATTATGCTACAATAATACAACATGTATACATACATACCTCACACAGTATGTTTGAGAAAATAACACACTCAAATGAATACATTATTTTTCAACTCAAGCACAGTTCTTTGTCCAGAAGTCCTTTCTTTTCTACATGGGGTAGCTGTTAACCACTCAGAGTGGTTAACAGACAAATGTTTGTCCCTCTATTTCACCACCTGTCGCCTCTGCCAAGGGCCCAGAGATGCCCCGGGTGGGACAGAGTCACTCACTTGTGTATTTCTTCACCCCCCTCACACCTGGTGGAGAATCGAGAACTTAGAGGATGCGCCACAAATGTTTAGGGAGGGAAGAAACAGAGGAAAGGGACAGAGAAGCAGGAAAAGGAGGACAGAAAGAGGGGACAGGGCAATGGGACGAGATGGCTCCCTCTCCTTGGGTGATGATGAGGCTGCCTGCTCCTGTGCAAACAGCGCTCGGCCCCAGGCCGACCTTAGCAGTAAGTATAGGCAGTTATCCACAAAATGTGACTTGAGGGATGCTATACAGGTCTCCCTGTGTCCTCAGATATCTCCCCTGCTGTCTGAACTTCAGTCTGAAATTCCATCATTAGAATTTTGCACCCTTAACTCTTACAGGTTTTGATTTTCAAGAACTTCTTACTTCAAGTCTGAGAGGCAATTGTCTAAGCGTCACCGGGGATGCTATTTTAAACGCAGCGAACTGGGCTCTGACTGTGGTACTCAGTGTGTGCTCAGCCCAGGTGTTCTGGGTCCCGTGAACACAGGAAGGACTCAAGTTAGAACTAGCCTAGGACTAGGACTAGGGTTAGATGGACCAGAGTTCAGGGTAAGATGAAGTCAAAACCGCTGCTGACTTAAGAGGGTCTGGGGAAAACTCCGTGTAGGACTAGCAGGAGGATCCACACGAACTGCAGAGGGCGCTCCTGCTCCGCTCTGTACTTTTCCTGGCGCTTGGGCTGCTCTTCACCTCAGTTCCGCTCTCTCGGGCCTTCCCCATGCCTCCTGCAAGCCTGAGTCCTGCTCTGGGTTTCTTCTGAGAGCTAATAACTCTGGGAACCTGTGTGTGAATTCTGGGAACAGGCTGCCTGGGTTGAAATCCCAGCCAGCTGTGTGATCTGACTCTCTTGCCGCCACCCCTCCCTCATCTGTGCCGCATCAGGTTCTTGTAATAAGTAAACATGTTGTGTCTACAGAGTGCTTACGCCCGGGCCAGCATGCAGTCAGCACTTACAGGGTTAGCTAGCTATTTCTCAGCACCCCAGCTCTTGCAAGTGGCTCTTGGGCTTTTCCTCACGCAACCCTGTCTCACTCCGGGCCTCTCAGAAAGCAGATACTCTCTGTGAGCTTCAGTCCCGGTCAGAGCCTGGGAAGGCCCAGGGAGAGGGTTTCCTCTCCTGATAATTGTATCCCATGAGGCAGAAACTATTTGCAGAGCCCTTTCATACTCATTTCACTCTCTCAATTTTCTACCTCAAACATGTAAAACCCGTGTAATAAAAAAGTTGTCCAAAAACAAAAGGCGTGAAGAATCTGAGCCTTGAGCTACAAAGCTTTCTTCTTAGGAGAAGATGGAGGGGAGAGGTACAGCTTTGAATACTTTGACTATTTATGGGTTTTTTTTTCTTGAAATATAAATAAGCACCCTGCATGAATCAATTCACTCGTTCAACAAGTAATGAAGCCAGCTACAGGAATATCTGGTGGAAAAGCATTCCAGACTGAGGGAACAGCGAGGGCAGTGACCCCTAATGGGAACATGTGAATTACTGGAGGAACAGCAAGACTTATGAGGCCTTGTGTAGACTGTGGACAGGGCTTTGGGTTTTAGTCTAAATGTGACAGAAAACAATTCGAGGTTGAGAGCAGGTAAATGAGAAGAGAGGCCCACATGTTTACACTCCCTGTCTGCCATACACAAGTTTCCTCACTTCTTAGTCTCCTGAGGGAAGGATGTATTAAGTATCTGAAATCATTTTGCATCCTGCAAAACATCTTGGTTTACTTGGGAAAAAAAAGTTATATAAAACTATCATGTTTTATAATAAAAATGCAATGAATAAATTTTCTTTATCAATTCCTACACCAAAAATCAGAACTTAACCTGCTCACTCATTGCTTAGAAAATGAAAAACAAAAAAACAAGACATACGATTATATTATCGACCAGGAACCATGTCTCTGCAGAGAGGAGAGAGCAAAAGTCACAGCAGCAGCGGGAGCTTGGCAACAGCTTAAACATGCCCATCCACGTTACATGCTTATACTTCTTCTCTTAGCTTTTTTTATCAAGTATAACATATCTACAGAGAAGTTCACCTGTCTCACTGAATTGCTACAAAGCAAACATGCCCGTGAACCATCATCCAGGTCAAGACATAGAACAGCACCAGCACCCACTCACGCAACCTCCAAATAACTAGGTCTCCCCTTCTCCCCAAAGGTGACCACTCTCTTGACTTCTATAACCATAGATTAATTTGCCTATTTTTGAATTTTCTATTAAAAAATACTTTTTTATCTAACGGTGTGGCTCAACATTGTATTTATGAGATCCATCCGTGCTGTTGCGTATAGCTGTGGTCAATTATTCTTATGGCCATACAGAGTTCCATTGAATGACAGTACTAGAAGATCCATTCTATTACTGATGGAGGCTCGGGTTGTTTCCAGTTTGGGGCTGTTGCAAATACTGCTGCTATAAGCATTCTGGACCATGTCTCTTATGACATGTGACACATTTCTCTTGCATATAGAAGTGGGAGTAGATTTGCCAGATCATAGGGTATGCATATAGTCAACTGCAGTTTATATTGCCAGACAGCTTTTAAAGAGTTGGTACTAATTTGGACTCCTAACTGCAGTATATGCCCCACCAATACTTCATATTGTTAGTCTTTTTCAATTTTAGCCATTTTTTTAATTTACATTTCCCCAATTAAAAATGGGATCACGCATCATTTTTTCTGACCATTTGTGTATTCTGAGTTACTCTTTTCATTTTTAAATGTATTTTTCAAGTTACGCGTCAGAACTATTTTCTGCTTTGTGGTGAACGGCCATAAACCGTGAAATAAATGTATGAGTTTTTTAAACTGTAAAATAGCCTCAGGAGTGATTGTTTATCTCCCAGTTACAATCTACACAAACCTGTCCATAACCTGCCCATAGGCTGACTCCAGGACATTGCTAGCAAAACACTGGATACGTGTTACGGTTTTCCCGCCATGTTCTTTTATGTTTAGAACATCCAGGTAGAGTGTTTGTTAGAGCAGCCCTCTCCCATCCGGGACACTTTCCGTCTACCAGGTCTCCCTGCAGGCTC